TGTAAGTGACAGTCACTAAAAATGTAATACTATTGCTCATATCCACAAATATAGTTTTATTGTTATCCCTCGTGACATTTTTCGTGCGGATTCTCGAACCAGAACGCGCGAACACCCTCGAGCAGATTATTTCTCTCATTTGCATTGTCGCCGCACCGCAGGAGAGCACCCTTTGCCCGACATTGTCCTTAGTCCTTTCTGGTTATCTCCATCGGCGAAGTCGCGACTGGGAAGCGCCGAAGGGTGCGAACGAGTCTCCGCGTGCGCAATAGATGGTCGGCTGCACGTTGCATACGTTTATTTCCTCCAATTAACCCTTCGGGATTCGTCGAAGGCCACGCGACTGTCGCTAACGACCGCAATGTTTACGGCGGCAACGAGAGAACGAACACTTCGCCGCGGTGAACCTCACGAGAATGAGCTTGCAAATGCGCTTGATTGGCTCACGTGAATAAAAACGACGGCGCTCTCACATTAACCCTGGCGATCCCAATCGTTTATTTCTGCAAGTTATTTACGGAATGTTTTAGAAAAAAGAAATCTGTATATCCCATCCCAAGTGACACTTTTTTCATATAGGGTGTAGATATAAGATATAAATGGTTTAGATTTTCTTTAATCAAAATGCAAAACAACCACTGGATGTTTTTATACGTTATATAAAAAATATGAAAAAATTGCGAAAATTATATCATGTATCTATTTGTTATCACTGAGTCTCTCTCTCTCTCTCTCTCCCCCCCCCCTCTCTCTCTCTTTCTTTCGGACCATTATCTTTGGAAAATGTACTGATAATGATATTCAATTTTGAAAAGCTAATATATTTATCAATTATACTTATCTGTAGTAGAAATGTACATTAATCATTATCATCGTTATCATCATTATTAGAATATATTTTCGTTTTCTTATGGATGATTGGTAAATGAAACTTTTAGGTGGTCGTACTGCGTTACATATTACAAACAATAAGCGTTGCTAGTTTGCTGCGTGCCTTGTTGAATTCACGCGCGTCAGATGCAGACCACCAGCGTGATATAACATGGCGTTACGTGAGTTTGACGAGAGGGCGGCAGACAACCGCAAACCCCTGTTGTTCCCTATTCCCGTGAATCCGTTCAACTAATATTTCAATAATGTTTCAATCATTCACGAATTTGAAGAGCGGCACAATGCTCTTATTGTTCGTTGAGCGTATCGCCGTTTACAATATATTTTCGTTCGAGGCTGCCAGTTTTTCCGAAAATGAACAAAAAAGAAAAAAATTGAAAAAGTGAGTGAACATCGTGCGACGCGATGAATATCGTAAAAATTTCACCGCTATGTTACGATATGTCTCGTTAGCAATCAATCGGAAAAACGATTCGATTTTTAACAAAATACCAGTTTTGCAAATACTACACTAGTTTTATTTACTACTTCCCCTTTATTATTATATAATAAGGGGTTAATATATGTACATGTACAGAGAATATAGTTATCCCTTGTACTAAATAATTGTGCTAAATATTGCACAACATAACGGTAATTCTTTTCTTATATAATAATATTCGACAAATAAATATTATTTTTTTTTAAATTGATATTTTCGAACATTTTTTAAAAATGTTTATTTATCATTTTTTAATAGAAGCTGATTACGATTATTCGTAATATAGCTTTATGTTCAATATTACAATTTCCTTACATTATCACAAATGACCTCATATAATTATAAGATAATTGACAGATATTATAAGATATTATAAGATAATTGTGAAAAAAACATAGATTAATTTTTTATATATCATTAAAATTGAATGTATTATCTGATTAATTTACATATATTTAAAATATAAAATTTATATAACACTTAGAAAAAAAATCTTCAACTGAATTAATAGTTATAAAGTTACAGAAGATTTAACATTGTATTTTTCTGTCACAATAATCCACAATGATCTTACTGTTTGTTTCATTTCAACTTATATGAATGGTGCACCGTATGCATCAGTTCATATAATACAAAAATAAAAAACAGATCTAAAAGTATAATAATATAGCAGCGTTGATAGCGCTCTCCACAAATGCAGCCAATATGTCATTTAAATATTTTAAATATTTTTACAAAAGTTTTAAATAGGTAATTAAGATGAAAACATTCCCCGTGTGCATATATATACGTATTGTGTATACATATGTGTATATATTTTTATATTTGTATTTATGTATATGTAATATACATATATTATTTTATAAACATGAGGAAATAACAAATTGTAGCTGTTCAGAACGAACGTCAACCAAGGAATACTGCCACCATCAGACCGGAAGCTCTCGTAGAGATGGATCAAGAACGAGCCTTACGCGAAGCTGCCGTCGCCGTAGGTGTCTTTGGGTAAGTAATTATTTGTTTTTTCTTTTTGTTAATTTTTAGTTATTCTTATTTATCTTTTAATTCAATCTTATTGCTGTGTCGTTACATTTTTTAAAATAAATCATTAAACATTAGAAATCAATGATCTAAAACAAAGCGAAAAGAAACAAAGGCCGAGATTGAATAAAATGTCATTAAAAAGTATTAGTTATTAACTGAGACCATCACACAAATCGGTAGCGATGTTAAGAACGTATCTGAAGCTCTCGGAACGCAATTATTTCGAAAAGATAAAAGTATTGAATGTTGGAATACTTGCAAATCGCGGAATCTTAAAAGCTGTACAAAATTTCAATTTAGACACGGTCGATTAGAGAACGGTAGGTGATGGAGACAACGATCGATAATCACTTGTCGACGGATGCAACGACAAGAGCAACGAGGGCCGACGACGTTGTTGGCACGTTTGATCTTCTGCTGCGCACCAGGCTTACCTTTCGCCGTTATGAGCGACACGCCGAGCGTGATCTATCATGAAAAATTACCTTTGACTAGCAGCCCGAGGCATAGCGTTTTTCAGGTAACCGGTTGTCCAGGTTGGAACTAATAGAAAATCCATAGAGCGCCAAGGGGTGAATGTTAAAAGCGACGATTGGCGTCCTGATGCGGCGCAGCGCGTCATTCTCGGCGAGTTATTATACCGTGCGCGTTACACAAGCGACCAATCTTTCCACGATATAAGCTTATTTTCAAATTAATTTGTTATATTATTAAATATTTAAAAATTCAAAGGATTGAGAGTTAAAAGTGATATATCCAAAAAAATTTTTATTATAATAATAAGTTACGTATATGTATCAAATCAATTAATTTCTTCAAATTTGCAAAAGAAGATTTCATATTTTAATACAAAAAATACATAAAAGATTACTTTTTTCTATAGTTGCGTGATTGACGTACGATTAATTTAAAAAAGTTTGATGAACTTATGAAATTACGTCTTTGCTACGCACAATGCCTAGCTGGAGCACCCATCTTTTTGTAATTTTTCCGTGTTTTCGTATATTTTATAATTAGTTTATGTACTTGATACCTTTTTTCGTGTTGTATATATACATGAATAACATAAGTATATAATTAATTTTTTATCAATAATAAACTATAAACAAAATATGAATTATAATAAACATTTTTTTTATACTGGAGAAAAAGATAATGTTCTGAAAATTCTTACATTATAATTTTTATGAAATCTGCACTCAAAATTTTAAATAAAAAATGTCAGATCTAATTGGTAGCTAAAATGATTGAAAATTTTGGAAAATTGTATTTAGTCGAAATATTATATTTGCAATATATTTGTTTAAAATTCCTGACTACATCCTTATTGTTAGATTATACTAATAAGATTTTAAAAAATAGCAAATAATTCTTCGGGATCTATTATGAATTTTCAAGTTTGATCTGCGGATTTAGAATTAAAAATCTGAGAAATTGTTAAGTATAAAATTTTAATTATGTATGAGAACATAGTTTAACTTTTTTTTTTAATTTGTTATATTAAATCTATCATTTTATAATAATTCTTCAAATTTGATTTCGCATAATAATTCCAAAAGCATCTTTCATTTACTTAAAATTCAACAAAATATTCCAGTCGGTACTAACTACAAATAACATAACATTGATGTTATTTTACTTTAGTGTCTTTAGTGTTACTTTAGTATTATTTTACTTTTGGTGTTGATTGAGACGTTTTAAAAAATTTATTTTAAAAAACAAAAGAATTAAATGAATTGGGATTTGATAATCGGATGCGTATTTGCGTTAATACTAGGGTTTGAAATGTAATTGGATATATAATCTGTGTATTGTTATAAAACGATTCACACTCCGGCCATTTGGTTCTACAGAACAATTTGATACGAATCATGAGAGAAGAGAGAGATCGTTTCTATTAAAATCAACCATTCGATCGCGTAAACATGAAGCTTTGCACTGGAGCAGACAAGCGAATAATCGTCAATAACTCCAGAATCTATAATTACACATAAATTAATGTCGACTCGAGGTTATTGTTACAGCTATAAGCTGACTATAGTCTGCTTCATTGAAAAGACCGAGAATGACAAGAAGATGTTAAATGAATTATAATCAGGAAGAGTTATTTTACTCTCTCACCGCAAGAAATGTTTAAACAAAGTTTTACGGAAATAATAAACAATATTTATTCCATGTACAATAAAGAGCTAAAAAAAAATGTGGCTATAAATGGATTTGAACATTACACGCTTTTCGTCACACGAGTAATCGATCTTCCCAATTAACAGCCTTCGGACCGTAGATTACGCATTTCATCAAAGTTTATCTAGAAATATTAACTGATATTCTTAATTATCTTGATCATTTGTTAACTATTTGAATAAACAATTAATTTGTTTACACGTTGCATTATTTGTTACTTTCATTTTGCTCTGAAGCTGAAGATTGAATACGATACAACAGAGATAAATGTATCTCATAAATGCTTTTCCTTATGATTTTTAAATCATCATCGCGTAATCATGTATTAAGATGATTAAATAATTACAGATCTTTTTGTTTATAAAAGTAAATTGTAGTCTTAATTTTTTCATAGTTACCAATTTTGCAAGCTCGGAAATATGTATACGTCGAAATGGAAACAAAAATCATTTCCTTCTCAAATAGCATTCCAAAGAAAAGACGTCTATTAATAAATACCTAAAGAAGAGTCTCTTACGTGCACTTTACGACACTTCACTTAGAAGTTTATGATATTCATATCGAAACTAATAGCAAAAAAATTGAGCGAAAATGGAGTATCTCTTAAGTAACAGAAGGGTTAAAAACGCAGCATCTCTGCGTGTGTGTGTTCTCTGCACACAGTGTATTCATGTATAATATACGTGTACAAAATATGTATATATTATACGCCTCATGTGTGGAACTTCTAAATAGAGACTTTACTATACGATTGTCTTCGCACGATCGACGAATACAGCCGCTCAATCACAGCTAGCATAAGTCAATGGCCTCGCCGCTAATGATACTTGCGAAGATCGCTCGGGCTCGATGAACAGGCGACATCGGCTTATTGACGTCGCGATACCGGGTATGGTGCAGTTCATTATTCTCCAGACACTCGCCAATCTTCCTCTCGAGATATGTTGCCGGGATCGGCATCATCGATCTTACGTCGCTCTCAGATTTGACAAACTTTTGCGCGCCGTCCACGATATATTGCGGCAATTTGATGCCCACCTTGAAGCCTCGCTTGAGGTTCTCTGATTTGGTCTGCCTAATGACGGATGTTATGCATCGCTTAATGTCTGCGCTTACGATTTGTTGCGATTCCAATGTCCCATCGTATGGATATTTGTCAGTAACATTCTCTAATAGTTCTAGAAGCCGATCAAAAGATAAGCATATCTCATTCAAGGACTGTTCACTGACTAGTAGGTAACCTCTGGTTTCGTTTTCTTTTTTCTGCAGAGCACATTCCAGTTTGACCAAGTTGTCTTGTGCCGATTGTAGGTTCATTTCGGCGGCTTCGCGGCGTGTTCGTTCTTCAGCAAGCAAAAGATCGATTCGTTTGGTCTCCTTCAGAAGACGATCGTGTTCTGCTTGAGCTTCCGCCAATTGCTTGAGAATACATTGGATTTCTTCTGAATCACGCTGATCCACACTTTGCATACCAACATCTACCTTAGTAGAATCGAAACTCTTTAAACTTGTCTCGTCGACACATTGCACGGTATCTTTGTGTTTCGATTGCTGTCCAACATCGACGGGCTGGATACGAGACTGAAGATCTAAATGAAGAGAAACCTTGGGCATCGTTGGTACATTGTTGATCATCTGCGAATGAATTGAATCATGTTGCTGAGTTATATTGCGGAAGTCTGGCTGTAAAGATCGAATCTTCATTTTTGTTGATAGAAGCGATATTGGAACTGTCCTTCTTGGTGGAATTATCTGACAAGGTCGCTTTGTGTATTTAGTAAAGACATTTCGCGCTCTCAAAAGCTTCGCGGTGTCCTCATTCTCCCTACCTCTTCGAGTATCAGTCGATACGATTTTCTTATCCTTTGGTGTTAATTCCATCCACTTATATTCCGATTTTCCCTCAACATCATTCTTCACTAATCTTCTCATCACTTCCATCGCGAGCTCGTCATTTAGGTTCACGTTCTTCCTCACATCGAATACTGTCAGCGTGTTATTCTGGTCAAGTAAGTTCATTAAATCCGCACCGATTTGATCCGTCAAGCCACAATGCTGAAGATCCAGCGCTTTCATCCACAAACTATCGCGTATTGCCTCAATCATTTCTATAACGGCACAATTCCCCAGATGTGGATTATTATTCAAAGTCAGCCGACGTAGCCCAGGCATCGTTTCGAAGTTAGGCTCGCGATACCTCAACGATTGTTTCCAGGTATCGTGATACAATGCCAATTTCTGTCTTGAGAGTGCGGATGCTAATGCGCTGCCGCTGCTCGGTGTGAGGTCGCAGTAACTAAGATTCAATGATCTCACGCTGCGAATATCCGCTATCGTTCGGCAGATCAATTCGCAGCCATTATCGCCAATGTAACAACGTCGAAGAGATAAATGATGTAAAGTCTGTGTTCCCGATAGGCCAACGCAGAGCACCGCGATGCAATCCGGTGGAAATGGGATACCTTCGAGTTCTAAATGCGTGAGATTGGGTGAATTCCTCACACATTGGCCGATACTTTGTGACAGCCACTCCAACAAATAACGTGTGAGAACCACCGGAGCTTTACCCATTGCTCGCGCTTTGTCCTCGGAATTAATCTCTTCTAACGGTTTGCGGCATTGATACCTGACAAAAACTTTACAGCATAAGTATATATAATTCCTTATATTGAGATTATGACGAATTTTAGAACGATAAATTATACTTTGCTAATATCCTTAAAATATTTTTTTGTAAGCTTAAAATGTATTTTTTTAATAAAAGATGAAAAAATTAAGAAAAAAAAGAAATAATTAAAAAAAATTTAAACCAAATTTAGCATACATAAAAAGAAACATTACTCTTAAATGTATATGCAAATTTTTGGTCATAAGCATCTAAAATAACACCATCAAATTTGAAAATCAGTATACATAAGGATCAATTAAGGAACATTAAAAATAAAAAATAATATAAAAAGTATCAAAGTCAATTCGATTTGCAACCTGCTATGCACGCTGATCGATTTGAGAGAGCGATCAAGGGAAAGTGAGTTTAAAATCGGTCTCCAGTCGTCCATTTTGATACGATCGGTAGTAAAGTCCAGATTATGTGGTAAAGTCACACATATTACCGGCAACGGTCGCAATCGTTGTTGCTTACACAGTTCCATATAGCAACTGGCAAAGTTTCTGCCGGCTGGAATCGCCATTCTTCGTGGCGAACCCGGTCCGACCGCATCGATCTTCCGTCGGTGTTGCGACGGAATTTCACCCTCGAACGTCGTAATGGTGCCGATAATCTCGCTTCCAGAATTATGAACTACCCCGTCCGTTGCTGTAAATCGATATAGCAACAAATTTTATTTCTAGACATACTTGGCTAAATGCCAAAATATATTTAAAACTCAGTACTGTCGAGAAACAAGAAATTTACCTTTGCCGTTGCAGCTTTGCTTGAAGATTAACCGGGATCTCACCGCGAAACGTCATCTGCACCATTAAATTTGCAATGGAAATAATTGCGAGAATCGGATTCGTTAGAAAGTATATTATTATGAAAGCATCGATGGCCTCTTCTCCTTGATTGTTTTCTTGGAGATTACGATAATTATTTGCTGGCCAACCTATCTAAAACCGATGAAAAATATCCCTGCATAGAACAAGACGAATCTATAAACGAAACACGCGCACGAACAGACTGAAGATATCGTCGCTTGAGATCGTTGCGTACATATATACAATACATACTTTTAATTGAATTTGCATTTGGAAAATTATAATGATACAATTCTAGTAATCTTTTGAAGACGAAGATAAAACATAATTCTCTTTGTGTTTTTTATAGTATCCAAGAAAAATTATAATAATATTGTATAGTTAAAATATTTTTTTTACAAATCATGCATATTTGCACGTAAAATTTTTGTAGGCTTTTACATACTGAAATTAAATTTTAACAGAACATTGGACATGATAGAAATTATTAATTTTATTAATACGTAATTATTTTTTATTCGCAATAAATTTATTAACAGTTTCAACATATTAACATCTTTATAATATAATGCTTAATGATAACATCAAATTATTAAATTACAATTAATTCGCGATTTCTAGAGTAGTTTTAATTGCGTTTATAGTCCGGGAAAACAATTCGGCGCGCATTTCTAAAAAGACTACAATGGTATATATGCAAGTACATATATAGATTCTTAATATTGTAATTTTTAGTTTTTATCATTCAGATACTGTTATCTTTTATATCGTGAATTATAATATTATTTCTCAGACCACCCGTATCCTTGGCCATGGCGAGATATACTACGCCACTACCTCTGCCTACAGTCGCACCGACGACAAATTCCGCAAACAACGCAACAACACCACCTCGGCAAGAAAACGAGGACGGTATGCAAGTTTTGTATTTAAATGCAATTGTTACGTTTATAAAAAGTTATTAACATTTTTTAAGATAATAATAAAAAAAATTACACTAGCAAGAATTGAGCAAAATTAGTAAGAAATATGTATAATAAATTCATAAAACATTCTTTTTGTCTGTTTTATTCACCTTAAGAATGTTTGATAGATATTTTAAAATAATGAAAAAAATGATTAAAGAATTACAAATTATACCAAATCGCATTTAAAAATAATACAACGAGAGAGGGGGGGGGAGGGGGAAGAGAGAGAGAGAGAGGGAGAGAGGGAGGAAGGGAGGGAGAGAGAGAGAGAGAGACATTTGTATCGTAAGTTACTTCAATAAAGATAGTATTTTTTAAATTTATGCTTTAATAGAAATTTTATGGAAATGTATTACGAAATAAATGAAAAAAAATCTCAATGTTTTAATATAAGTATTTTATGTATTCAAGATTATTTATGTAAACTTACATTACGATGCAAAAATTAGTCGTCCAGTATATAAATATTTATTTGTTTTAAATCTTTGTATTTAATGTGAATTTCAAGTTATTTTTATTATTTCAAGTTATTTCAGTTATGGAAATTTTATATTTGAATGAAGAAGAAGCTTTGCGTCTAAACAGGAAACGCTTCCGAGGACAGTATAGATGTAACAAACGAGGAGCCGTTGACGCCTCAACGAAGCGGATGCACCCAGCTTCCACCGGTGCTGCCGTCCTTATATTCACCAGCGAGTGCTGAAACGGTTTACGAGACCAGCGCGAGGTTGCTCTTCATGGCAGTCAAATGGGCGAAAAATCTTCCCTCCTTCGCTGGTCTGCCATTCAGAGATCAAGTAACGATTTTTCAACTAACTTTGTCGATAGCAATTTATTTGTATTCCAATATGCATGTATTTATTACTAATTTAACATGTCTTTATATATTTTAACATGATTTTTATTTGATAATTTATTACGATGTACGTGAACAGTAATCGTGACGTAGAAATAAAAAATTAATTAAGTCATCAAATACATATCTACGTATCCTTATGTCAATGCGATAGATAAAGAATAGGATGCCGGTGAAGATTTAATTATTATCTTAAATTTTATAACAATTATCAGGCTTATTCAGAGAAAAACACATATATTTATAATAATGCTCTAAACAGACGTAATGCTACAGTTAAATAAACCGCAAATCTGTATTTATTGTGCAGGTAATATTACTGGAAGAAGTTTGGTCGGAGCTGTTCCTACTAAATGCGGTTCAATGGTGTCTGCCACTTGAATCTTCGCCTCTCTTTAGCGCCGCTGAGCTTACTGCTCTGACCCTCTCGCCTCACCCGCATCCGCATTCGGGGTTGCATCTGCAAACCACTACGGGGAAGCCCAGCCAAGTGGCGGCGGATGTTAGACACTTACACGACACCCTGCAGAGATACAAGGCGGTCATGGTCGATCCTGCGGAATTCGCTTGTATGAAGGCCATCGTTCTCTTTCGCCCAGGTTAGTAATTCTTATCTTTGATTTGTCCCGTTTTGCACAACGCTGATTTTGCGATTTATCTTTCCACTTTTTAATTTATTTTTCTCGGTATTTAATGTAAACTTTATTCTTCATCTTTGCATCGTTTTTTATGCGAAAATTAATCTGCTTGATTTCAATAAGAGTGCAGTTACGAATATATATTATACATTTATATAAGCTAGTTTAATTTAATTTCAAAGAATTTTTTAAGACCATAAATGTGATTACACAACAAATAAGGAATAAAACTTTTAACGGCGTTAAATTGGATCTTGGTTAATTCGAATTTATATACTACATAATTATTTAAACAGTACGTCGAAATGATTATTTAATTTCGTACACCTGCGACGCGCACTCTCAGAAACCAGATTTTTCCAAATTTACAGAAACTCGCGGTTTAAAGGATTCGAGCCAGATTGAGAATTTGCAGGATCAGGCGCAGCTAATGCTCGGACATCACGCACGTGCTCAACAACCAAATAGTCCAGCCCGCTTCGGCAGATTGTTGTTGTTGCTGCCATTGCTGCGAACAGTTCCAGCTGCAAGAGTGGAATTGATCTATTTTCATAGAACTATCGGCAATACGCCGATGGAGAAGGTCCTTTGTGATATGTATAAAAACTAAACATTTTAAATACCAAAGGACTTTGTTACGAACGTCACATTACAAAACGCAAATACATGATCCAAAAACCAAATAATTCAGAGCTAGAAGCAGGACGAGATTTATGAAAGACAAAATCTGCAGTCATCGAAGAAAGACAGTAAAGACTAACAGATGAAGCTTTTTTTAAATGAAAGGAACAAGGAGCAGAACGCGCGAACTTCTTTTCGACACGATCAGGCCTAAGGACAAAGTCCTAAGTCCCTCTGTGATGATCGTGAGAATTTCGATTGGCGAATATCTCTATCGTACAAACGCGAAGCACTAAAAAGAATGGCATCGCTAACGAATAAAACGGTAACTAAAGTGGACCGAGGGACACTCAATTGCGGCGTAAATATACACATATAGATATACATGTATTTATTTATTATAGATATATTTATCGGGCGTTAGGCTCGACACGTTGATAGCACATTTTCTGTTTTTCGTAGGAAGTCGATGAATTAATCCGAAAAGCGGGGATACTTCATTACTAATTTCATTTTTTATCTTTTAAATTTATTATTGAATTACCGAATTAGAGAAAAAAGTGATAGGGTGGGCACGAATTTTACAGCTTTGTGAACGTCAAAAACGCAAGTACGGAAATTGATTATTTTACGAAACATATATTTATATAAATTCGTATTAAGATTATTTAAAAAATTAACTCAATTAAAATATTTCCTTTTCTTTTTTGCTCACAGACAAATTTATGCATCAGAGATACGATTAATAAATCATGACGATATATACAGTCAAAATTAAATTACATTTTGAAATAACCGAAGCGGCAATATGAATTCATAAAATTTAATGTTGCATAACATCGATTAAAATCAAATTATTTCCATAATGAAAATAATTTTGTTTATAAAGATGTGTGAAATTGATTTTTCTCGGCGATGAATGCTCGTCCGCACTTTCTCTGTATATTTCGTGTTGTGATACTATTTGCTGTAAAACGTATTCTCGGTGATATATATATACATATATATATTGTAACGATTACTTGTAATAAAAATAAATCCGATTAACTAAGTTATCATCACTGACTCACTCTTTCATAGACTATTATCTTATTACTACTATCTTATTTATTATTACATGTTCATTAATGTAAACTATATTAACTTTTACAATATCGATTAAATATTAATTTTAGGTAAGCATTAATTATAACGCAATTTTGAATAAATATATTTAATACATCTTAATTTATTCATAGTATGAAAATGCCAAGTAACAATATTAAAAGTAATATGATACAAACATAAATTACATTTATATTTTTACATATAAAGATAAAATAAACTAGAGAAATAATTACTATATAAAAAGTAAAGATATGTTTTGAAATAAAATTGTAAAAAAAAAGTTACGCAGTAATAAACTGAACTAGAACTACTAATATAGAATCTCTCTCTAATAATGCACCATTTAATAATACACCTAGTAAATTAATTAATAATTAATCACAAAAATAATTTCGAAGCAAAGGTGTAAGTCATTTTCCCTGAACGGGAAGCAAAAACTCAAAGATTACCAGTGTATATTTGGCGAGGAGGTAAATTTTCAGGGGACCTGCGAGCCTTTCAAGACACGATTTGACTTTGGTGGGTACAGCGTAACAATGTATATTTGCACCAACACAACTTCGACATGGAGGATGTTGTATAATGTATATATTTATTTATCACTGCATAATCCCTGACTTCCCCTGCCGACGAGGATTTTGCCACATGGCAGTTTGACGGTCCCCGGCGGAGTTATCCCCTCGGCTTATAAATTACATCGGGGCTTGAGCGAGGTTTAAGGGTTTGCTTAAGTTGTCAAAGCAATCGGGGAGTTAAACGCCCCGTCGCTGGGGGTAAGCGACCTTAATGCTTTTTCGAGCGGATCTATGAAACGCGCCGAGTCAGGCAGCGAACCACAGAAAATAATTGAGGGAAACGTGTAGACCTTAAGTATTCTTCTGAACTTTTAAAAGAAAAAGCATCTGGCAAACTTTGACCAACTTGCATCATGCTGAATACATCTTTAATATTACATATTACAGTCTCTCTTTCTATTTTTATAGTTATTTATGTTGGGAGCGCATTTTATTAGTAAATATTTAAAAAAATGTCCGCACTTTTTATATTTAAAAATATATGCATATCTAATATTTAATAACGATATTATTACCATCAGTAATAAAATTAAAAAATACAAAGACAAATTATTTCTATAAATTGCTTCTATATGATACACGATGTATCTCACACTATACAAATGTTTTGAAAGAAATAATTTATTGAATTGTTAAATTATTGAATATTATGTAGAAATTCTTTGCAAAAGAACCTTTTTACTAATTTCAATAATCTGACTCTGTTATTGAATTATCATAACTTCGAAGACTGTTATTCCTGAATTTAGATATTAAAAATGAGAACAGACAGAGAAAGCACATTAAATAATTATCGCAAATCTATCTTACCTCGATGTTGGAAAAGAAGCTTGTGAAGCTTTCTCAGTAAATTAATGTTATCATAATTAAATTCACACTAAATATACAGAATACATCAATCACGAAATTGAGAATTAAGACAGCATTTCTTGTTTACCGCAATCATTGAAGTGAGACAACAAATCGACACTTTCTCAGATTATCTCTAAACTCCTTTATGATCAACCCTTTTTCCGCCCTTACAATCGTAAGTCCTGTGAAGGTTGTGCAGATCCGGTAACGAATTTCGATATCCTCTAGCGAAAAAGGGCGAGTATAGGCATGGCGGAACGAGGAGGCGGAAGGTAGTGATAGTATTGACTCGCTTTCGCGGATGTGCGGAGGCGGAGTTTTCGACCTATCTACCTCGGAAGCAGGGAAGCCGGGGTCGTGCCGGGTTCGACCGAGTCGGTCGGGGTAGAGTGAGACCGACTCTCGTCGCACTGTCAACCCCCACCCACGCGACGACAAAACTCCCGCTGAAGGGTGATCCAGCAATGGCGGCAGGACTTGTTGTATTTCGCTTTCGAGGTGAACTCTCTCCATTCCCTTCTACCTTCTCGATTCCATCCCTGTCCCGCGTGCTCCCCCGATCTCGAGGCCCGGATAGGTATGGTGGCGGAAGGTGTGGGTAACGGTGAGAAAAAAGAGAGCTGCACAGCGAATTGTGGGGTCCTAGAGGAATGAGGAGGAATATCAGGAAGGAGAGAGGGAAGGAGAGAGGAAGGGAGGAAGGGGAGAGAAAGAAAGATAGACAGAGAGAGAGAGAGAGAGAGAGAGAGAGAGAGAGAGAGGGTGGAAGACTATATCGCTTGGGACAGGAAGCAGCAACCTCCATTTATTTTATTACATTATCATACCAACTAGACGCTCGAAAAGTGGGATTTTAAAGCAACGGTTCTCAAATCGTTCCGCGATAACTTTGGCGACTTTTGCCGATATCATTCGTTTTAGATTCTATTCTTTTAACAACAAATATTTTTTTTTCAAAATTTAGGTATTTTAATTTCTAATTGAGGTTGCTCTAAATCTTATATAATAAAATAAAGTTGATAATCAAATATGATTGATAAGATAAAATTGAAACATTTTATAGAAATGAAGGCAGTTATTTCTTTACATTTCAAGGACATCGGAAAGAATGAGAGAAAGAAAGAGAGAATAATTAAAGTAATTAATTAATTATTACATATGTTTTCTTTCTCAATGTCGTCTTTACATACCTATAGCATGAAGTTAATTAAATCGTATCAATGATTAAATACCTCTATTGTATTTTCTAAACGAAACATTTTTCTCGAAGGTGACAACACAAATATGATACTAATAATATGGTTAGTACTGTCATTTTCCATTTTCAAGCCAATCGTTCACTAATGACATTCAAAATTGATTTTATTCGGTTTTAATATTTAAACTTTTTTCATGTATAGTATTAAATTAACAAAATATTTATAAGTTATATTGCTATTGGCAAATTTGTAAAAATACAGATAGTTAGATAAATCGTAACTTGTCGCTGATCTTTATATTGTACCTACATTTAAGATAAAATAATATATTGGCCTAGTTTACATCGTATACTTGATATAAGTACTAACTAATAACTTAATTTAACTAGTTAACTTAATTTCGGCAATACGTAAATATATATATATGATATGAATATTTAGTTAATCATTTTGATGCATATTGTATCAATTTTGTACATCACTCTTTAAATTCATTGCTGAAATTAAGATAATTTAATAGAAAGTTACTAGTTATATCCGTATCAAGTGCACAATGTAAATTAGGCCATTAAAATTGAGTAATTAAATAATCCTTATTACTAGTCTTTATATTATACCTACATTTAAGATAAATAGCATGTTAAAGTTGAGTAATTGAATAATATTTTATAATTATTATATTTTGATATTTATATAAAAAAAAGTATGTTTGTATTGAGTCTTTTTAAGATAAATTAAAAATTATTTATATAGATATTATTTGTTGGATTTTAAGAAAATCTAGATCTTTCTTTGTAAAAACTAATAATTATTTATTAGAAGTGATTTAAATGCAATTTAAACTAAATGGTGCAATTTAACGGTTTAGTCTCTAAATCGTATCGAAAGATACTTTATCGAATCTAATTTAAACAATAATCCAATGTTTATTTTTATAAAAATGTCGTTTTGTTTTAGTACTAATGAACCAAAGTTTGATGTAAGTACAAAGATATTCTGATCGCTTTAATACTTTTTTTTGTTACAATTTTGTTTAAATGTTAAGAGGTATGACATAGGCGATATTCCTTCTATATGTTTCAGAAAAGGATATCTTTTTAAAAACATGTAAGATTTATTAGGTAATTATTTTATTAAATATTCTTATTGTTATTAATGTGAAAAGACTAATTTAACAGTGTTATAATGATATATCAGAAAAATTTTTTTATGTAACTCGAGATATTATTTTTATATTTAATAAGTAATATTAATAAATGTACATATAATGGTAGTAAAAAGAATAAGTTAGCTATAAATGAATGTATTTGCAACGCAACCATAGTTCTCAATAAAATTATTATACCTAATATATACTCTACTTTGTAAAATCAAGCTTCAAAATTCGTTTAGAGAAATATTAAACAACAAAAATCCAAAACGATACATGGAAAGTTTGTCACTAAATTGTGACAATAGAAAAATCAATATCATTATACATAGTTTCCTGTTATAAACGTTAATCATATGAAAGTAAAAAATGTAAAGTATATTACAATTTCTTTCTGTCGTAGCGTAAATTAATACAGAGAGGTCATTATAGTTTGTATTTAAAATTCATGTCGCAATGTGCCGATGCAAGTGTTGTTTCACGCTTTAACCAATTAGCTTCTCATTAAATCCAAGCTACTGACTCAATTAAATCAGTGGCCAATCTGAAATTTTTCCGTGCGCTTTTTTGGCGAGAATTGATATGGAAAATTTGCGAATGCGCAACCAGACTATTCCGCGTGTTGTGACAATACGCAATCGTGTGTTGTCGAAACCGCAGCTTCAATTATATCATAAACGGAATTTGATGCTATGTATTTTGTTTGAGTATTAAATCACGCCGCACGAGTATAGCCGCTCGTTAAGTAGAATTAAAACCGGAAGCGAGAGAGAGAGAGAGAGAGAGAGAGAGAGAGAGAGACATTGTACGATTTAACGACCATCGATTATCAACACGAGTTTAAATTGAGCGCGAATACAATTATCCTAGCAGATTTTACAATCTCGTTAGACATATTTTTTTCACTGGATATGCAACAGATTTAATTTCGTACAAACATTCGCCGGTGGATAATATCTCTTCTTTGCGCTGATGATCCTTTAGGCAACAATGTTTCGTAATTGCAGACATTGCAGTGATGATAAATAAATTTCTTGGACCAAAATTTTTGTTTTGACAAAGTAAGGTTATTAAATATATTTTTTTTTTAAATTAAAAATAATAATTTCCATAAAACGGATACTGGTCGCTACGTGAATTTCTTTGTTATCGTAAATTATTATAAATATTTATTCCTGAAATATTCGTAAAAAATTCCTAAAATCCTAAAAAAACATTTCAAAAGTATTCCTGAATATTTCGAAATATTTACGAAATGTAAAAGCAACATTCAAATATCGATTAAAAATTCCATTTATATATTGTTATATATTCCAAGAATGTTCCAAAATTTTAATTTTTCCAGAAATTTCAGGTCGTCCCTAAATCAATTTTTAAACAAAATTTTTTCTTGAAAAAAACGCAGTTCATATTTCCACCTAGGTATCCCATTTCAGGATTTATTTTTCATGCGAAATGCTGCGCTCCTTATATTTTCTCCTAGATAATGCTTGTTAACGAGTAAATGCTCTCCGCCGCGGTTCTCTGTCACAGGAAATGTGTACTGTTCATTCGCTCACGATTTTTGATATATTCAAGAAGTATTCATATAATATTCTGACATTTCGTCGACCTTTGTATATTCTGTGATAATTCTTTCACTGTGCCGAAATATTTCTCACATTGGGAATACGAATCGAATTTTCCACGAATATTTAGCGTTAGCTGAAGAATCAAAATAGTTATAACTTTTTATAAAAAAAATAAAACTAAAGATGGTATTTATTATTAACAAAAAATATATTGTATAATTTTTAAAAGAATAATTAAGTTTACAGAAAATTAAGTAATCTGATTAAATAAATTTTGTGATAATTAATCAGCATGATTAAAAGAAACATAAAAGAACAATATGCATAACATAACTTTATTAATAATTTTCAAATAATATGTATATAATAGATACGTAATCACTATAAATATACAATTATATGTTATTTGAATATTTAATAAGAAACGTTAACAATGAAATAAGATCATAATAAAATCTGATATAAGATCAATTATTGCTGTTGCATTTAGGTTATGTCGAGATTAATTTACAATGGGAGAAACAAAAAAACTGTAACAACAAATCTCGTCACAACTAACCTGGCTTGCCATTTACATATTTGAACTTGTTTAAGCAAAAAATATATTTTAAAACATAAATATAACTGTAACTAATTACTTATAAAGATTCTAAAGAAATATAGTTTTTTTTTAAATTATGATATAATGAACAGAGTGATAAATATAATATTTAATACGGCGGAAATGTCACTGATTTATTCTTTTACTAGCAAAAAATGAAAATATTTTCTTTTTCTAATAAATCGCTCTTTAATCTGAAATAACTCATTGCACTATGACCGCAATATTTTTGCGGAAATATTATATTTTTATGCAATATTTATATGCAATATTATCGTTTGTTATTTTGTAGTAATTTTAAATGTATCAATATGCATATTAATTATCCCCATTCTCTCAAATATTAAGAAATAAAAAATAATCAAGTCGTCATGATAAAATATAAGTTCTTATAAAGTAAAGAAAAAAACAAGAAAAAAATAAAAAAAATCGAAAGGGCAAATCCTATTTCCGTTGGTGGATATTCGAAAATGAAGTAGCCGTTGGTTAAAAACGAAGACAGATCGTAATCCTGGGAATACGTGAGGCGGAAGTCTGATTTCTTAAATAGAACTCCAAGACTCGCGGGGCCTGGATGAAAAATTTACCCAAGATCTTCTTAGGGTAGCTACTCTGTAAACAATGATAAACTACATGATAAACGAGGTATACATGAATTCATGAAGCAATTTGAAAAGTCGTTAATTCTTTGCTGGATGTTATTGAAATCAATTAATGTTTTCAGAAAAAATAACTCATCATTAAATATCCAAAAATATTCTGTTTAGAAATTATAAATTAAAAATAGTCATCATCTTTTTATATACGGTTTAAATAGATTTTTTTTCATTATTTAACTGAGTCTTAAATTTTATCTTAAATTTTTTTTAATGCAATCATAAAAATATATAAAATGTAATTAAAAATATTTATTATTCTTCTAAGCGAAATATTTAGAAAATATTGAAATTTAAATGTGATATATCATTTCATATGTTTCTTGTTAAACTTTGAGAATTCTTATTTAACATTAAAAAGATAAAGTAATCCATTTTTAAGGAGAGATTTCGACAATTAAGCAACGATCAGAAGAGACTCTCTTCAACAATCTCTCTCTCTCTCTCTCTCTCTCTCTCTCTCTCTCTCTCTCCCCCTCCCCCCCTCTCTCTCCCTCTCTCTCTCTCCCCCCCCCCTGCCACTCCTCTCTCGGACCACTTTTATCCCCACTGTTTCCATCCCTCATTCTCCCTCTTTCCTAAAATCAATAGGTACGTCGCCGCGTCGCGCCGTTCGTCATACTATGTATTTGTTGCAACGTATTTTGCGAAGTATTTATATATAAATGCAAAGTATTTTATAATAAATCTTATTTTATGAAAATATAAAAATTCAGAATAAATTTGCATGAATACATTATTGTAAACTTATATAAATTAACAAAAAATTAACAATTAAGTATTGTAATAGCTACGTGATCTGTAAAGCACCAATTCTTTTGTAAAAATGATTCACTCTTTAACAACTTCGCTATAAACATATCTGATCAATATTTGAAAGAAAAACAATTTTCTCATAGGAATATAATCTTTTCATCAGCTGCAGCTTACGATAATGTTACTAATTATTTTCATTCTACTCAAACAATGTTTACATGCCGTGTGCCAATGGTTCGCCATCCGTAAAACCGCGCGCACGATTCGTTCAGTAAACTGGGGGCGATGCCTTTGTCTCCTTCGCGAATTAATTTCAAGGGCGAGGACCTTTTATAACAGACCTTATATCCGCGAACCCTGTTTAAACAAAGAGCATCTTCGTATAACTTACCGTTGCGTGAAATACGATGTCAAAGGGAGCAAGTTCCTCTTTTGGAAAGACATGCGGACTTACTGAGGTTTAAACGCGTGAAAAAGGAGGAATAAAAATATCCCCTGAAAATTTAATTTCCAAGAATGCAAAATGTACTTCTCTTTTGTTTCAAAGAAGGAATGGAAGATATAGAAAATGATTTATTGATTGTTATCTCTAATAGATAACTAATGTTGATAGATTAATAAAAACTTAACAAAATTTTTATCACAATGCTACACATATATTATATCTTTAAAAATAAATCTATGTAAATATTTATTCTTTTTTATATTCAAGCTATTTATGTTTTTTAAATATATTTCTGCAGAATAATGAAATATTAGATCAATAATTTATTCATGCAGAGTAATGTAAGAAGTTTTAATTAATAAAAATATAATTTTCATCTAAATTGATAGAACTTCTAACATTTTACTATTACTAAAAATTAATTGTAAAATAGTTAATATATATTATATTAAAACGTATTTTCATAAAATAACTTGCATTCCAATCAATATTTAGTTGATAATGAAGGAATCGTTGAATCCTGCAATGGGTATTTATCGGAAAAAATCCATTTTATGATTTTTACCATACTTTGATAAATTACCTACAATAGATTAATGAGATCAAATTAATCGAGAAGCAACGCGAAACAATGTGCAAATCCATGAAGATAAAAAGCTTATAAAGGATAAAATAATGTACAATAAACAATACTTGAATTCAACTAACAAACGAAATTTAAAAATAATCATCGAATATATAATATTTTTCGATGTCAATATTTTTATGATTCTTGGAGCAAAAAAATATGCCGTAATGTTTATCACCATCAGGCTGGGTAATATTTAAAATAATTTCATTTTAAATATGTATTTAAAATAAAAATGACATTTTGCATTTCCTATTTTAAATGGTTTATATATATATATTCACGTTGCCATCAGATCAATTTGTCTATCTTTGAATAAAATTACTTGATTTTACAAGTACAGATTGCGTTTTAACGACATTGACATATGTAACTTTCAGGATATTCTAGTAAAGGTATACAGATTGGAATATTTTAGAAACATACTTTGAAGAAAGAAGATTATATTATCTTCTAAATCCTTACCTTTTCTTTTTAGGTCTTTCCTTTCAATAAATTTGAAAGTAAAATACAGCACAAAGAATCAATTCTTTTATAAGAATTCTTTCATAATTATAAAGAATGGAGAGAATAAATTAATAGAGATTGTAAAACTTATCTGATGTGATATTGAAGAGAAACTTTTAACATTTTGAAAAGAGATATCTTTTACACTATATTAACCTCAATACACAACCTCAATTGTCAATCACATTTACCAAAGTCAAAATCTCACGAAGTAAGCAGCTGTCATTACAAGAGAAACCAATCAGCATCGCGGAAAAGCGGCAACAATAAGCTTCGAGAGATGCGAGCAATCGACTTAACGTCTCCTTTTTTAAATAGGATTAGGTATCACATTGCAATATAGATTTTGTTATTACAAATTAATATAAACAATTTCCAGGGAAAAATTGAAGGACGATGGAGTATACATTCATATGATTGGCAATTTCCCTGCTGCCAGAAGATTTATGCAAATTATTGAAACTATGATTGTTACTAGAAAAAATAATAGAATAATTTTAAATTTTGCTGTTGCTTATATATGTAAGTATAATTACAATGAACCATATTTATATTTACACTTGATTTTATATATTACATTAAGCCTGCATTCAGAAAATGTGCTATCAGTGCTATTGCATCATCCTGTTTTATATCATCCTCTTGCTTTATGTCTCATAAACAATTAAGATAGAATGATGCAATAGTGCTAACATTATGCTCCTAGAACACAGCCTAATTAATTTAAAAAAATCATTGCTATATCGGTATACTCTCTGGACAATTAGTTTCGTGACGTATATATAAATAAATGTTTAATATTTTATATAATTTAAAAATACACACACACGTTTTCCGCGAAATGATGTTCTCTCTTACAAAGCGCTTTGTGTTCTCAGTTGAACAGCGTTTTTTAATGTTATTGCCTTGAAGGTTCGTTCGTGAGAGATTTCTTATCACGACCAACATTCTAAAAAATTTACTTGTGTACAAATCATGCAATATAATATATAACTTTTGATTCAGATGATAAATCGTCGCTGAATTTTTTGTACTTTTAAAGTACATCGATCTAGAATAAATAATAAACTTTTTTATATAATAATTTCTTTATTATTTTGAAATATCGATTATACCTTTTTAAGTTATAGTTAATGTATACGTAGAAGATTAATTGTTGATGATGCGAATTCAATGATTGAAACTTAAAAAAAAGAGATATGTTTGAATGAATGCGTACGTATAGATTATCCCGATTATCCTGAAATCTTACGAATTAGTATTCACACATCCACACGGAGCAACGCAACGATTTGCGGTCAATCAAATATTCCTTCGATACACACCGCATATAAAAATACGAAACTGTTGGCTTCATGGAAGGTATTAAATTTATGAAATGGCTTCTTCCATCTGGATGCTGTTAGAAATCGAATCCGTTATCTCTCTCAATAAGACTCTCGTGAATTTTGAACGTATAAACGTTTTAAAATGGAAGCCCTTGTATAGGATGTCAAACTTGATTTTCAAACTTAACGTCAATCATCATATTGGACTTGCATGCAAGCAGTTTTAATGAAAAATCGTGCGTCAGCTTTTCGAAGTCAAATCCTTTTTGTTAAAAGTTGTATTGAATTAAAATCTATTCAATTGGTCTTTTCCTCTATGTATAAAATTTTTTTAAAGTATTCGGTACTATGTAAGCTGTCTTAAGATTTATATTCATCGCAATCAGCATAAAACTTTCCGAAATCGATTTGACGTACGGAATAGTAAAAATAAATTGTGGAATTTTTTTATACAAATCGGGACATTTTTTACTGTCGATAAAGTCTACATCTTTTCTTCTAGTAATTCTTTGTATCTTATTTTATTTTACTTTTTTTTTAACTCCTCCTGAATAACATTATTTTTATTTGTATTTCGTAGTTTATTTAATATAATCTTATTACGTCACTTTTGTATTGAGGAATTTCAGGGAATAATGTCTCTTACCATAAATGCTGACAACCTATTATCTGTCTCTTACCATAAAGGAACATGAAATCAAAGAAAAATATCATCGACTCTATTTAATTTTAGCTAGATTAATTCTAGCTCGAATCGATATCGAAACGATTTCAATTTTTAAATTAATGAAATTTAAATGTTGGTCCATCATACAAGTTTCCAATATCATTTGGAAGTATAAAAATACTACTAGTGTCATTGTTACTACAGTAGTATTACTACTGATATGCAATAGTGTCAATGCTGACCTGTAGTGTTACTATTGTAGTAGTATATGATAGCATATGACGTAACATAGAATTACTTCCAGTAATTGTAATATTGATATAAAAAATTTATTAGAATAAAAAATACACACACACACACACACACACTATACTCTTTATAAAAGACAAAGGTCTAGCAGTCCAGCTGGACTAGCAAGTGGAAATGGAGCATGAATCTCGGTATTGCAGAAGTCACAGTTTATGCATTTAGTATAGAGAACTTTAAACGTAACAAAGAAGAAGTTGATAATCTCATAGACCTTATGAGGCAGAAATTCAAGGATTTGTTAGAAAACAAGTATGTGTGACATTTAGAATTTTTTAAATCAGTTATCATCGCAGCACAATATATAGATTTTGTTATTACAAATTTATATAAACAATTTCCAGGAAAAAATTGAAGGACGATGGAATATGTATTCGTGTGTTTGGCAATTTGTCCCTGTTGCCAGAAGATATATGTAAATTAATAGCTGAAGTTATGATTGTTACTAGGGAAAATAATAGAATATTTATTAATTTTGCTGTTGCTTATACATGTAAGTACAATTACAATGAATCATATTTATATTTACACTTGATTTTATATATTACACTAAGTCTGCGTTTAGGAAGTGCGCTATCAGCGCTATTGCATTATTCTGTTTTATGTCATCCTCTTGTTTTATGTCTCATAAATAAGAATTAAAATAGAAGATTAACATAGAAAGATGCAATAGTGCTAACAGTATGCTCCCAGAACACAGCCTAAACCGATTTAAAAAGATCACTGATATATCAATGTACTCTCTGAACAATTAGTTCGTGTCGTATGTATAAATGTTTAATATTTTATATAATTTAAAAATATATACACACACACATACTTACATGCATATATAATTTTTATATTTTTTAATATCACTATAGCAAGGGATGAAATTACTCATGCAATTAAGGATATACCATAATACAAGGTGTAAAGGATTCTGATATTTTACCTGAAGATATTAACGAAGATCTGATTACTGATTGTTTGTACACTTACAAGTCTTCATATCCAAATTTGTTAATTCGTACTTCCGGAGAAACTCGACTTAGCGATTTTCTCATGTGGCAAGTAAGAAAACATATTTAATTTTTGTGGTTTGAATCTATCTACTTGTAATCAAAGCAGAATTATGCATTTAAAAATTTTACTTAAATTTCTTTTAGATTTCCAATACTTGTATTTACTTTATCAAAGTATTGTGGTCTGAATTCAGTCTATGGAATTTTCTTTGTGCAATTTTTTATTATCAGAGATGTTATTCTAGCTTGCAAAAAAATAAAAACAATTTGAAACCAATTATGCATAATACTAGAGTATCCATGTTTATTTATAAGTTATATAACAAACGTGACATAGCAATCGAAAAAATATATCAATCAGCAATTCAATCCTAGAAATAAATAATAATTTATTCTGATTGATATATTTTTATATATTAATCTATTCTAATAGATAAGTTGTAAGTTGTAGCTATTCTAGTAGATAAAATGTAATTTATACTGTTAAAGGCATTTATTTTTTATTGATTGTGTTCTCACATATACAGTTCTATGAAATTTAATATTTTATATTGTCAAAAATGAATAAATTGTGCTATCTGAATAAGTTGTGAAAAAAAGGTTTAATGTTGCGTTAAGAGATTCATTATTAGCTATTAGCAATATTTTTTAATTATAAATTGCTAATACATTATCAGTTTTATTAATATTTGTGAGTTGCTACATTAATTTTTATTTACATCTTTCTTTAATCTGTAAATTAAAGAAAAATCTGGAATTTAATTTTTGATTGGTGTTGAATAGTGTTTAAAATATGATAAAACTCATTATCTACCTACTAAACAAAATTATGTAACGTTGCGTTATAACCATGCGACGATTTGCGTTTTGTCGTATAAATGTTTTGATAACGTCCTAGAAACCAGAAATTTCCTAAGATTCCCTCGAGAGATTCTCTCAGAGATTTCCTCAATTACTTTACGTATGCGACGTCATATTTGCAACGTTTCTGCGACATTTGTAAAACTTGCCTTCGATATTAGGGACGTTATAATTTTAGTTCCAGAAATGTTTTTGTAACGTTTCAGGAAATGATCCTTGATTTATGTTTAATTTACAACTCGAATTGTAACATTTTTGTAACATTTTGGAATTTGGACAGTTTAAACTTTTGTTTAAGGTAATCTTAAAACTTACTTTAAGAAAAATATATAATAAAAGAAAGTTTTCCTTCAAGATAATGTTGTAAAATAATTTTGTAGAAGAGAGAATTTAATTTTGAGAGAGAGAGAGAGAGAGAGAGAGAGAGAGAGAAGAGAGAGAGAGAGAGAGAGAGAGAGAGAGCATAAAGTTATCTGAAAGATAACTACGAGAGGATTGTTATAAAGATATTTTTTAGTGAAAAAATATAATTGACAAAAAAATAACTAAAGATATTGCACTGTTAGTCATCAATAGGAGCTTTCCAGCAAGAACCACAAATTAATATAAGAGTCCTTATTCGATAATCAGTAAGAAACATAAATAGAGTGACTCTTATATCGATTTGTGCCTCTGCTGAAAAGCTTTCTTTATAATTTTATCCATTTATTATATTTATTTATAATGAAGATAATTTTTGCAAGTATTTTTAGTCATCTTTTTTTTAGTTTTTATATTTTAGCATATGTAACATTTAATATCAGATCCATGAATTAATTTTTACACAAAATAAACAAAATTGTATAACTATCAGTGTATGTATCCTATTTATGAATCCTGCAGTGCTTACCATGTCATGTGTGCAAGAGCCATTATCTTTCATCAAAATCTTCTTTGGGGATTCGTTTTCCAAAAATTATATTAATGTTCATTTATTCATGTTCATTAGAACATGAATAAATTTCTCATAATGCTGCACCTTTTATTCTACCCTGTATAATTTTCGAACACGAGAAACAATTCTACAATGTCTGTTCGGTGTTTCGATCCCGCGTATTGCTCACAGATGAATGATGAAAATTATCAAAATACTGAAAAGATCTTTTTCATGTAGCTTTTTCAGTAATAAATCTCGAAAAAATATCTTTTAGATCCAGTTTCACAACTCATGATTAACTCTTAATCGAGGTTCAACTTATTCATTATCTCTTTTCAATTCTAGAATTGAAAAGAGATGAGAAATAAGTTGAACCTCGGTTAAGACTTAACTATGAATTGTAAAACTGGGCCTCAATCGTGACTTTTCACTTTACTCAAAACACAATCATTAAAAAATGACAAAAAGATGTTTTTAAATTGTTCGACAGACTAGATCTTTTCGTCTTGTCAAAAAGACAACTTAAAGATGATGCTAAAACAAAGGCCAAACTTGATCTATGTTCGGTAAAAATTTTTCATGCCTAAATATATACATATAAATATTTAAACATAAACATGTTTAAATATTCATAAACGTATATATTTTATATATATATATATATGAAATATGTTCATACATCTTTTTTTCTTTTGTAAAATTACTTTTTAGTGTAATATAAATAATAATAATAATAATGTAAAAACATAAAAATTAATTAAATATATAATTTTCGCGTTGTTTATTTTAGAAAAAAAATCAAATTTGGAGAAATGTAAATTGCTTATACATAATTATTTATAATATTTTATATATAATTACACCGATTACACGGAAAAAAACAGTTCATATAACCAGAAATATTTAGTTGCAAGCAATATAGTTACATCATCATAGTTATTTTTGTATGATAAGTATGGTTCATATGACTTATTTACTTGATGTCTCAATTACACCAATATAGTGATCTGGTTGTAACCAAAATTTGGTTGGAGGAGCATTTATGAAATAACTATCTATCCATATACTCACATAGAAATTGCCAACATTGTTTAACTGGCTCAATTGCTTATCGGCAATCAAGAGTTGCTACAAAATGATTTTGCACGAAACGAATGTGGCAAAAGTGTTTTCCCCCGTGAGATATTAATCGTTAAAGTTGATGACTATTCAGGAAATCTGTCACATCTATGACATCATATCTTATGTATACTAACACGTACACATGTAAAAAAATCTAAAAAATTATGAAGAAATGTTATTTAAACGCATTTTTTAAGCCTATAACAGACCTCGACTTCATTCTTCTAATAAATTTTCCGACGCTTTTTAATTAACAGGAAGTAAGATATTATAATTTACCGTTACTTTTTTCAAAACTAATTAGACATCTGGGTAACTTTCCTTGATGCAGATTTACTAAAAAAATTTCCTACTAAAATTATAAATTACACTTTAATATCTCAGAAACTAACTAAGAAATTACCGATTAATTTATAAGTTGATCACTTCTATAATATATATCAAGGTCAAGATTAGCGGCGAAGTGTCCCCTAAAGATTTACTGTCGTCAAGAATAAAAAAATTATATAGATTATTTTTAAAGTCTTAAACGTACTTTTGAAAATTTATTTAATAAGTGCTATAAAGATAAGAAATCTTGACCAAAAGTTTTATATATTTACAACATTGTAATTTTCAAAAGATGTTTTTAAGACTTTAAAAATAATAATTTAAAGGAAGGTATTTAAGAAATTAGATAGATTTAAAAACAAAATATTATAGTCTGTATATTAACACATAGCTGATATATTAATTTTAAATATTAAAAAGTTGTATGTATCACATTTTGAGTTATAAAAAAATTATTTTTGGATAACATCTTTAAAAAAAGATTAAAATATAGTTCTTGCACAGGTCAGATTGACAATATATTTATGCAAGTCTTTTAGTTCTCGTATGATTTCATAACATAATTTTAGAAATTCTTGATCAACCTCAAAAATAATTTATTTAATTACTTTCTGACTGCAAAATTAACTGAATTAATTAATTCGGATTCTCAACAACAAAATTATTAGCAATAAAGTAATATAAAAAAAAAATAAAATAAAGAATGAAACAAGATTCAATATAATAAAATTAAGATGGCAAAAAAGTAGAACAATATATTAAAAACTATTTTTAACAAAAAATGATGATATAAATATCTGTACTAAAAGAGTATGAAATAACAGCAGAAACAGAGAATTATTAATTAGCTAATGTATAATAATATTATATGGAGCAAACACCACTGAATCTTCTTGGAACATGTCTGGTATCCATCTTGATCGATCACACAAGAGTTTCTGTTATACAAGGTGCATGAACTTCAGCGACAACTTGAAAGATGTCCATGCAGTACGACGATGATCTTCGTTGAATACCATAATCCTCGTTAGAGGAACACGCCTTGGATCAGAAGCGGGATATCTCCGACTCCTTGACAATGTCAATGATAATCTGATTTTTATTGACTATAACCTTGTTATCATCAGGTTCTTGTTTTTTATTATCGATATCCTGTTTGTTATTACCAATGTCCTGGTTATTATCGTTGATATCTTGATTGTTACCATCGATTTCCTGATTATTATTGCTGATATCTGGATTGTTATGGTCGACATCCTGATTATTATTGTCAATGTTCTGGTTGTTATTAACGTTCTGATTGTTATTGTCGATATCATGATTATTGTGGCCGATATTTTGATTATTATCATCGAGATCCGCCCGCTCGGTATTCTCCGTACCATCATTGCCGCCATTAATATCATTTCTTGTCCTTCGTTCACCAAACTGTCGTTGATAATATTCCTCACGCATTAACTCATTGATGTTGCGCCAGCGTAAGCACATTATTAAAATAAATGGTTTGCGAATCTCCTTATTGAAAATCGCGTAGATGATTGGATTCAACGCACTATTACAATAACCAAGCCAAAGGAACAGAGATGATACTGAATGCGGGATAGCATCAGGTTTGTAGAATGGTCTAATTAGTGCTAACATAAAGAATGGTAACCAGCAAATAATGAAGGCACCAACGATGATGCCCAAGGTAGTGCTTGCCTTTCGTTCACTTTTTCTTCTCCTTAACTGACGTTTATTACAAATGCAGGCTCGACTATTACCAGTCCTCAGTATTCTTATCGATTTTTGTAACATGTTCCGTATAAGACTCTCTCGGCGCTCGCTGAAGTGACGCCTTGGATTACCTTCGCTCTGTAGTAAATTAATTCATTTAGTAAATAACGTTATTTACATATAAAATAGAAAAAAAGGAAGAAAAATTTTTTTAATAAAAATTGCATTATTTAACAAAGAAGCCTGCACAAATCTTATAAAAAATGAGTCGGTCAGATCGCTTTAAATTTTAATATTTTGTAGCTCATGTGAAACTGATTAAAATTCTTCATAGGCTTCCAAATGTAGTTAATTTTTGCTCTAGGAAGTTTGCTTCAGAAAGTCTTTACATTGTATATGAGAAAGTATAAAAAATCGAAATAAATCTTTT